TAAGGTGATATGTGCCCATAATTATGAAAGTGGTCTAAGTCATATATTTTTTGTTTCGCGAAATTACGTTGAATTAATTTAGTTTAAAATAATGTGGCGTGAAATAACTGATAAACTCATTTTTTTGTTAATTTTGACTTAGACCACTTTCATAATTATGGGCACATATGAGAGTGTGGTATATACGTACCATAAAGTGAAAATATTTATGAAACTTTTCTCCAAACTGGGTGGCACCTAGTTAATTGGAACTTCAACGTGTGATAATGAAGGCTCTAAGGAAGAACGCGCTGCCCGTGAAATTTCATTTTTCGAGAAAAAAAATATCTTTCTTTGGTTCTTGTCCGAGATAAGTAGAACAGTTTTTTGGAAAAAAGAAATTTCATGAGCTGCGCGTTAGTCTTTATGGCTTTGATAATCACGCATGAAGGTTTCAAATAAATCAGCGCACCCAGTTTGGAGAGAAGCTTTATAAATATTTTTACTTTTTGTTATGTTTCTATCACACTTTCATATCACCTTAACGTGTTAACGTTAAGGTGATATGCTTTTGCACAAGATGGCGGCGCGCACTGCCTTGCACAAGATGGCGGCGCACCGTATCTTTCTCAAGATAACGGTACGTAATGCCTTGCGCAAAATGGCGGCGCACATCACCTTGCACAAGATGGCGGCGTAAATCACCGTGCACAAAAATAGCAGTGTACACCGCCTTGTCCAAGATGGCGGCGTACTGTATGTCCCCCAAGATGGCGGCGCTAACACATAGCACAAGATGGCGGCGCCCACTACCTTGCGCAAAATGGCGGCGCGCACTGCCTTGGACAAGATGGCGACGCATCGTATCTTTCTCAAGATGACAGCGCGTAATACGCTGCACAAAATGGCGGTGCACATCACCTTGCACAAGATGGCGGCGTACATCGCCTTGCATAAAATAGCAGTGCACACCGCCTTGCCCAAGACGACGGCGCCCACTACCTTGCGCAAAATGGCGGCGCGCACTGCCTTGCACAAGATGGCGGCGTAAATCACCTTGCACAAAAATAGCAGTGCACACCGCCTTATTCAAGATGGCGGTGCACCGTATCTTTCTCAAGATGACAGCGCGTAATACCTTGCACAAAATGGCGACGCACATCACCTTGCATAAAATAGCAGTGCACACCGCCTTGCCCAAGATGGCGGCGCCCACTACCTTGCGCAAAATGGCGACGCACACCATCTTGCGCAAAATGGCGGCACGCACCACCGTGCCCAAAATGGCGGTCCGCGATTGGTACCTGGTGGAGGAGTAGGACGACCCCGACGAGTAGGACTGCCGGCGCGGGCGAGTGGTCCTGCGGACGGCGGTGGGCGACTTGCGGCGCATCCAGGGGTCGGCCCACTCGTCGCCGCGCGCCCGCTCGACCGAGGCGGGCTCCTCCTCCCGGTCGGCGCCTGCGCGCCACTTGGTCGGGGGGATGCGCTCGACGATGACCTCCCGCGAGGGCCGCTTGTGCTTCCGCTCGTACTTCTCGTACTTCTCGTAGTAGTCGCGCTCCCGCTCGCGCTCCCTCTCGCGCTCCCTCTCGCGGTCTCTCTCGCGCTCTCGCTCGCGGTCCCTCTCGCGCTCTCTCTCGCGCTCGTGCGGCTCCGGCGAGAAGACGGACCGCTTCGCGGTTCGCGGCACCGCGTGGTACTCCACTCTGTCTCTATACTCCGCGCCCGGGCGGGTCTCCGACTTGTAGCGCACCCTTCTGGAACCAATCGAAACCTAAATTAGTACTCCTGAATCACGTGACAATGTGAAGTACAGACATTAAGGTGATGTGAAAACCCCCTCCAATCAGTCGATTCGAATAAGACCCTTTTTTTTTTTTTTTTCTTAAGAAGGCATTGAATAGAAGTGTCCGAAACTTTGACACATGACTCGCGAGCACCTAGGAATTATCCTGACATTTTCAAAATTTCAATTTTGTTAAAAAAATGTCTCAACTTAGCCCAGACCAGAACCAAAATGGCGTCGAGAAAAAGAGAGCGACCTGTAGTACTCGGGCGGAGCCGCCGGAGGCGGGTAGTATGGCTCCGGCTCCTCGACGTAGCGGTCGGGGGTGATCCTGGGAGGCAGAGGGCGTCGCGAGGACTCCCCCGGCGGCCACCTCTCCGCAGGAGGTTCCGGACTGGCGGCGCGCACGTAGTAACCGGCCTCTCGGTCCAGCTCGTCCTGACCCAGGCTCAGGTTCATCTTCTTCTCCTCGAAGTCCACGTCCGACTCCTTGCGCTTGTTCGCTTTCCGCATCATCTGCAGAACGGAACTCTCATTAGGAACCTCGGTGGAGTTTCGCACCAAGTATACACTTATGCGCGAAACGCCAAATATGGGCTTATTAAACTTATAAAAATGAATATCTCCGTATTTGAGAATTTCTTGCGCAATGGAATTCTCATTAGGAACCTCGGTAGAGTTTCGCACCAAGTATACACTTATGCGCGAAACGCCAAATATGGGCTTGTTAAACTTATAAAAATTAATATCTCCGTATTTAAGTATTCCTTGCGNTGGGGGCGGGCGGGTTGAGGCCAGCACGCCGGTGGATGGTCCCGCCGGTGGGGGAAAGGGAGCCGGGGGGCTTGGGCGGCCGCGGCGAGGGAGCGGGGGGGTTCATAAGCATGGCGCCGCGCGCCGGGGGCGCCAGTGTCGCGTCGGCCGCGGCAGGCTCCGCACCGGCCGCGAGCGGCGCCGCCCGCGCCGACGTCCTGCCTCTGGCGCCGCGCGACCGCGACGGCGGGGACGGGGACCGGGACCTGGACAGGGAGTCATAAGAGCTGTAGCTAGAGCGGCTTGAGCTGCGGCTAGAGCTGGAACAACATCGGAATACGCTTTAATCATGGCCTTAAGGTGATATGTGCCCATAATTATGAAAGTGGTCTAAGTCATATATTTTTTGTTTCGCGAAATTACGTTGAATTAATTTAATATTTATATTTAAGTCTTTTGCAGTCTACGTTGAGAATTATACGAACTGAAGGATTCCATATGTCATTTCAGTAAAATAATGATAAAAAGATCGACATAAAACTGCCGAAATCCCATGAATTCACGACTTTTTACATTTCGACGAACCAACGTAGCCATCTGTGACATTTAGCTGCAACTAAATGCTTCACCCATCGTATTCCTCATCGCCCGATACGGCTAACCTCAAAATCCCATACCGCTCTACTAAATCGATCACCTTGGACTTTGGCGAGGTTTCTGGCGATCGGAACATCGCCGAAAGTGTACCTACCCCTCTGCACTTTTGAAGAAAAGTGTAGTACCCTCGTTACCCTCGAGTACAGAAAGTGCAGTCAACGCGAACAAACCTACAATTCCATGCGCTTGGAAACGAGGCATAATTCCGCCTGCATAGAAATCCGACATAACCTCTAAAACCTCTGAAAACGTGGCTGGAGGTACCACGGAAGCGAATGAACGTCGTAAGGTCCAGGGTGACGTAAAAATATGAGTGCTCTTTATTCAACATGTTCGCGGGGACCCAGAAGGTCGCTTATCGTCTATCGTGAACCATCCAACGCAACTCTAACCTCTAACGCGGTACCTAACCTAGACCTTGGAGCGCTTGCGCGCGATGGCGTCCTCTACGGCCTTAAGCTGCTTGAGGAGTTCCTCGCGACGCGAGCTCGCCTTCTTGGCGGCCTTCGCGGCGGCCAGGGCGACACTAGCTTTACTATCGGCGCCGCGCGACGGTGGCGACGCCTCCAGAGGGCGCTTCTTCCCCGCGATGGTGGCGCCACCGCCGCCCCCGCCGCTGCGGTCAACCTTCTTAAGCGCCGTCGCGTTGTTCGAGGGCTTCAACGTGAGCTTGATCTGCTGCTTGGCGCCGCTCAGCTTCAGGGCGTCCATGCCCTTCGACTCCTTGCGCGCCGCCACCGGCGGCGAGTCCCGGCGTCGCCGCGTCTCGCTCGACGACGAGGAGTAGCTCGACTCGCTGGAGTCGCTGCTGCTGCCGCTGCTGTCCGAGCCCGAGCTGCTGCGCGAAGACCTGCGCACAAGACTAGTTTTCAGTGGACTTGGGGAACTACCTCGTCCTTAAGGGGGACCAGAGACAGAGTTCTAAATCCAGTAAGTTACGTCAGAAACGAAGAGAAATTCCCGGTAACTTATCGGTCATTTCTCCAAAGCCTTTTTTATCGAGAAATTATGAGAATTTGAATTTTTCAACAGAGCGAACGAGAGGTTTCGATTAGCTATAGAGAGACATCGTAGAGGGGAATTTCCGTTGTACGTTCTCCGTAGCCAATCAAAACCTCCCATTCGCTTCGTCGCAGAATTAAATGTCAGTTCGTTTGAAACAAATCGCATGGAATTTTCCGTGAAGTTGTACATACGTGAATATTTTTAGCTGGAGGTGAATACGACCCTATAATCAATATTTTCTAATAGTAATTATTACTCTTTAGCTTGAACTTTGAAGTTGATTGAAAAAAAAAAAGCTATTTAAACGAAGAAACCTAATGTATAAATAACAAAATTAACGTTCTCTTAAATTCTCAATGTTCCCGGTAACTTACGGTATGTTTCACAGTTACCTTCTCCAATTTAATGTTACCGAGAATTTTAGAACTCTACCCCTAGCGCCCTCTACGCCCTTTACACCTCTGGAAAGATTGGAACTACTTACGAAGAGGCGAAATGTTCTCTGTCGGTAAAGAAAAACCCGTATACGGATTTATAATACAGCACAGTATCGACAGAATGAAGTTATCGCCTTTTCGTTTTTAGTATCAGGGTCAACGTGGGTTAGGAAAAGAGACTATGAATACCAAATAAAGTTGTCACGCGTGGATAATTGAGATTACAACGCGGTACCCACGTATATCCTGTTTTACCGACCGCGAAGATGTCGCCCCTTCGAAAGTAGTTCCAATTTTTACAGAGATGTAAAGAGCGTAGAGGGCGCCAGGGGGCCGTTCCTTTCAAACAATGGCGTGAAACATCTCCCGCTCATCTCTGCAATTACCCTAGTAGTACAGAATAATTACTAAATATTTTTCTGTAATCTTTACTAAATATCTCAAACGACAGATTTCTTTAGATGTCTCGTACATTTTATTCGAAGATAACTAAAATATTTGTTGAAAATCTCATTGATATATTTAGTTTTAATAATTTATAAGCATGCGATAACCGAGACGAGCGGGGAGAGGTTTCGCGCCATTGTTTGAAAGGGAGCCACGGCCCCCTGGCGCCCTCTACGAATGCGGTCTGAGTCATGGTTTTCTACAATTTTCTCCGGTAAACTACATTGTTAACGTAATATACATTAAAAAGCTCGAAAAAAGGGGAATTACCGAACCCTGAGATCAGTGGAACCAACTCACCTGGAGCGGGACCGGCTCTTGATGACCTTGGCGACGGCGGCGGCGGCCAGGGCGGCCTTGTCGCGGCCCTTCTTCAGGGCGGCGTCCGAGTGGCGGGGGTGGTGNTTCTCGTCCGATCACCGAAGTTAAGCAACATTGGGCGCGGTCAGTACTTGGATGGGTGACCGCTTGGGAACACCGCGTAGTGTTGACTCTCTTTTGCCGTTCCTTTTTCTATTGTCATTACTGCCGGAAAGTATCATTTTACCCTCACTGGTATTTTCGAATCTGTTCCGCAAAGGTTTGTCGCCCTAGGCGGCCGATGGTCACTTGAGACTTTGTTTGGAATGCATGGGGACCCTCGAGATTCCACTTGAGATAAACGGTTTCAGATGATTCAGAGGTCTTTACGAATTTTCTAACGGACACGTGGGACGCTGTTCTTTCACGTCTGGAACGCTTATCGGACAGACTCGTTCCTTATAGATATGCGTGCCCGTTTCTTGTTAACATACAATGCGCGGGAAGAGTATTAATACAAACACGGTACATCAACCCGTATATAATATGTTGAAACAAATTAGGCCAGACCGACTTGTAAAATATAAAATTATAAATAAGTATTTGTTTTGCAACTGAGCATTAAATAAACATTTAAACGTTAATGTCAACGCTCATACCATGTTGAAAGCACTGGTTCTCGTCCGATCACCGAAGTTAAGCAACATTGGGCGCGGTCAGTACTTGGATGGGTGACCGCTTGGGAACACCGCGTAGTGTTGACTCTCTTTTGCCGATCCTTTTTCTATTGTTATTACTTCCGGAAAGTATCATTTTACCCTCACTCGTATTTTCGAATCCGCTCCGCAAAGGTTTGTCGCCCCAGGCGGCCGATGGTCATTTGAGACTTTGTTTGGAATGCATGGGGACCCTTGAGGTTCCACTTGAGATAAACGTCTCAGATGATTCAGAGGAGGTCCTTGGAAATTTGCTAACGGACACGTGGGGTGTTGTTCTTTCACGTTCCAAAACTCTTATCAGACTTATCTTATTAGAAGAAGATGGGAATTACGTGATGCGTCAGACCCATTTTCGTTAGAAGAAAGAGAATTGACTAGGATGTACAGGTTAGTTTTTGTTATTGCGAGGTTATACTACATTATTAAACATTGAAAACTGTTAAAGAATTCATGCTTACGTGACATGATAAGAAAATTATGTCGTTGAACTTCTAATTATAGTGCATGTAAATATGAATGTAATACATATTTAAAAAATATCGATAGACTCGAGTCCTCTTCTTTACTTTTAACGGCTTTCCATCTTCCCGCCTTTCCTGCCTATAACTCCCTACCTCTCAACAATTTTCGATTTACAAGGTATGTACCTTTATTTGCAATATTATTAGACTGGAAATGCTAGTGATCTCGTTCTTTCATATATCGAATACGTAATTCCGGGAATAAACCCACGTGAGATGAAAATGCGAGAAGTGAGCGCTCTCGTGAAAAATACGTAATAAATATATATATAACCCCTTACGTCACAATAATTTTCAATTTACAAGGTATCTACTTTTATTTAACAATATTACTAGACTGGAAATGCTAGTGATCTCGTTCTTTCATATATCGAATACGTAATTCGGGGAATAAATCCACGTGAGATGAAAATGCGAGAAGTGAGCATTCTCGTGAAAAATACGTAATAAATATATATATAACCCCTTACGTCACAATAATTTTCAATTTACAAGGGATCTACTTTTATTTAACAATATTACTAGACTGGAAATGTTAGTGATCTCGTTCTTTCATATATCGAATACGTAATTCGGGGAATAAACTCACGTGAGATGAAAATGCGAGATGTGAGCGCTCTCGTCAAAAATGCGTAATACACGCCCTGAGCGTCCAATCGCGACTTAAATTCGGATTTACTGGGACTCGATAAATCCCTGATTTAGTAGTTCGATGGAAACGTTGTCTGCATTTATTCAGTACCGGATTAAATAAATTCACCTTTGGATTCGTCTCCACCACCTTTTATTTAACATTAAACTATCATGGTGGAGACGTTCTCAAAGCCGGATTTATCTAATCCGATATTAAATAAATACCAACGGTGGAAACATAGTAAGTATTTAATCATCTCCGTTGTAAACATTGCGGTACAGTTCCTCGAACTCCCTCTGCGTATATTTTTCCAGTGGAACTTTTCATTGTTTTGCGAAACAAAGTCTATATTTCTGTGTTATTTCTAATAAATCTGAGATAGTCCATTCGAGTAAGTTACAATATCACTGAAACGAATCATGATTTTTATTACATTTATGAATCAACATTTTGATTGGAGTGTATCAGTGACTATCAAAGATACTTTACTTTAATTGTTTACAATATGTTATACTTCATTCTTATGTTTCTCTGATACAACTTTTGTCTTTAGGATTACTAGAGGCGAATGTAATTCGATTCAAGTACGTTTAACTCGGTGAAAGGGATTAATTTCTTTCGTACCATAACCTCTGGTAAGTTATGCTGCATTACAATCTGTTATACTTCATTCGTATGTTTTACTGATACAACATTTGTCTTTAGGAGTACGATAGGCGAATGTAATTCTAATCCTAAAGCACGGAAAGTATTGTCTTTTCCATCAAAATATCAATATCACTGAAAACGATCATAATTTTCATTACGTTTAAAAATCAACGTGTTTGATGGCTCGTATCACTAGCTATGGAAACCACTTTACCTTATTTGTTTACAATCTGTCACTTCATTCTTACGTTTCTTTAATACGACTTTTGTCTTTAGGCTAACAGCAGCTGAATGTAACTCGATTTAAGACATTTATTTCGGTGAAAGTGATTAACACGTTCCCTGCCGCGTGGGGCGTATATGCCCCACGGTCTATTTACGACAGCGTACTCGTCATTTGTTTCGGCACTGAACATGTTAATTTCTTCAATAACGTTACCTCTAGTAAGAAACGCTGCTGTCCCTCCTTGTCGTAGACTTAATGTAAAGCACTGAAAATATCAGTTGTCTTTTCTGTTGAAATATCAGTGTCACTGAAAACAATCATAATTTGCATTTTGTTTAAAAATCAATGTGTTTAATGGCTCGTATTAGTAGCTATCGAAAATGTAACTTGATTCAAGACATTTATTTCTGTGAAAGTGTTTAATTTCTTCAATGACGTAACCTCTAGTAAGAAATGCTGCTTTCCCATCTTGTTGTAGACTTGGCGTAAAGCACTGAAAATATTAACTGTCTTTCTTGTTGCAGTGATTTCAAAGAGTTCTTTTTAAAAACAAAGAGTAAATCAAAAGTCAAAATGGCACACTACAAAGGCGCAGCCAGCGAGGCTGGTCGAGCGATGCAGTTGATGAAGAAACGAGAGCTCGCCCAGCAGGAGATTGAATTAAGGAAGAAAAAAATCGAAGACGACCTCAAGATCCACAACATCGAGAACAAATTTGCAACTCATTACAATGCCGTCGAGCAGCAATTAAAAACTTCCACGATAGGTCTTGTTACACTAAATGAGATGAAAGCTAAGCAGGAGAACATCGTCAAGGAAAGGGAACGCAAACTTGCCCAGAAGGAACGGGAGAAAGAACAAGAAAAGGAAAGAGCTCTCGCTGCGAAGCAAGCTGAGAAGAATAAACAGAAAAAGCAGATTCAAGCTCTGTCGTTTACGTTAGAAGATGAGGAGGAAGACGAGGAGGAAATAGAAAACCCAGAGGAAGAGATCGAAAGCACTCCTGAAGCATCGAAACAATCTGGTAGTACTTCTCCGCTTCCAACTGCAAAAAAGATTAAGAAAAATCCAGACGTCGATACGAGTTTCCTGCCTGATAGAGAAAGGGAGGAAGAGGAAAATAAACTGAGGGAAGAGTTGAGGCAGGAGTGGGCAATGAAACAAAACGCATTAAAGGAGGAAGAAATTGAAATCACTTTCAGTTACTGGGATGGCTCGGGGCACAGGAGAAGTGTCGTCATGAAGAAAGGTAAAGCTCTAAACGATCCAGTCTATGCTGTTAAAAATATGTGTTCAATGATTGTATATCGATCAAAACATGAGAGCTTGACGTCAGTTTGGTTCTAGCCTAGGCTAAATCATATTTTTTATTTTGCAAATCCAACTTGTAAAAGTATCTGGATATTTTTTAGATGCTATCGAGTAATTTTCTAATATTTAAGATACTTCGATACAATATCATTAGAAAAGTGTCTTATGCGAGTCGAATGATTTGAAGGGGAGATTTCACTTCACCGTAACTGATAGTTTAAGAAATATCTTCTGCATTTTTAATTAACCCAGTCTTATCCGTTAACAATATGACGTCACAGGTTTTAGAGGGACTTGAATATTAATCGATATTAGCTTGTACTGTGTGCAGGTAATTCGATATATCAACTTCTCCAGCGTTGTTTGGAGGTCCTGAGACGAGAATTTGGTGAACTGAAGACAGTCATGGCGGACCAGCTGATGTACGTCAAGGAAGACTTGATTTTGCCGCATCATTACACGTTTTACGACTTTATAGTTACGAAGGTGAGAGGAATGATTCCAAATTAAATGGCCACGTGACTAAATGTAGCACGGCTTCTACATTTTGCACATTTAGTAAGATTCTTAAGGTGATATGAAAGACGCTGAGATATTTAATCGACGTCGATAAAGTAGAATTCATCTATAGATTATATATAGATTCATCTAGAAAAGAGAATGATCAATAAATTAGTAAATAAATAAACCCATGAGTAATTAGAAAAATAAATGTGTAATTGCCATTTTGTATAGTCAAGAGACCCTGCTCTAAATTATACCAGTGGGTGTATTACGTTATCTTAATCTATTTATTTCTTTTCCAGGCAAGAGGAAAAAGTGGACCATTGTTTACGTTCGACGTCCATGACGACATTCGTGTGATGCATGATGCATCCGTCGAAACGGAGGAATCCCACGCAGGGAAGGTGTTACTAAGGTTGGTGACAAAATAGGGAATACTCCGATAATCATCTAACCATGAATTAGTATCAGGGTTGGCAAAGTTTCACCGATTCTGGTTAAAACCAGCGGTTTTTTTTCGGGTTCTATCCAGTAAATAAACTACATTACACAAAACTCGGTTTTAACCAGAGTTTTAAGGTGAAGTAAAACGCAGCGAGGAACTTGATCGACGTCGGTAAAGATTTTTCGAAATACCTACGTTGCCGACGTTCGTTTTTATATTGACAGCTGGGTCAAAACATTTCCTATCGACGTAAATTGCCTAAAATGCTTTTAATTTTGCAATTAAGATAAGTGAAACGAAATTATAATACGTGTATAATATGCAGATTGTGATGTTTTTTAACGCGATAAAGACTAGCAGACACTTTTTAATTGCCAAGTTTCACCGTAGAGGCGCTCTCGGCAGTTGATATGCGAAAATTCGTATTTTTTTAACAATTCGACCAAAATATTTATTACCGGTGTAAATGACCTAAAACGCTTTTAATTTTGCAATTAAGATACGTAAAGCGAAATTATAATCCGTGTATAATATACATATTGTGTTTTTTTAACGCGATAAAGACTAGCAGACACTTTTTAATTTTCAAGTTACACCGAAGAGGCGCTCTCGCAGTTAATAAGTGAAAATTCGAAATCTTTCGAATAATTCAACCAAAATATTTCCTCCCGATGTAAATGTTCTAAAACGCTTTTAATTTTGCAATTAAGATACGTAAAACGAAATTATAATCCGTATATAATATACATATTGTGATGTTTTTAACGCGATAAAGACTAGCAGTCGCGCTGACAATATTTAATTGCAAAGTTTCACTGTAGAGGCGCTCTCAACAGTTGACCAGCGAAAATTCGTATTTTTTTTTAACAATTCAACCAAAATATTTATTACCGGTGTAAATGACATAAAACGCTTTTAATTTTGCAATTAAGATACGTAAAGCGAAATTATAATCCGTGTATAATATACATATTGTTATGTTTTTAACGCGATGAAGACTAGCAAACGCGCAAGCAATATTTAATTGCCAAATTTCACCGTAGAGGCGCTCTCGGCACTACATCAGCGAAAATTCGAGATCGTGATCCCCTAAAGTGGGGTTAATTTCAACACATAACGTTATATCTCATACTTCTTGGACGTAACCAAATTAATAACCTCACTTTTCCACAGGTCGTGGTACGAAAGAAATAAGCACATCTTTCCAGCCAGTCGATGGGAACCATTCGATCCAACCAAGAGCTACGACAAGTACACCATCTCCGACAAAAAGAAAAAGGACAAGATTTAGTATAATTCAGGGACTGCCATTTGATATCAAACTACCGAATCGTGAGCCAGAGGTGTCCGTGAGAAATCACTATTCCAAGGAAAAATCTAGGAACTGTCCTAGGAACTCCTATGCAAGATTTTCCTTCGTAACAGTATAATTACAATTTCGAATGTTTCGGTGCATGTTAAATTCCACTCGATGACGCACCAGCGGTCTCCTTCGTTCTTCTAAGTATTTATACAGGGTAAAGGTGCGAAGAAATCAACCGATAACGGCTCAGTAAAGGCCTTTTATATCCTCTTAACACATTCGCGACCGCTGACGTGAATTCACGTCATATTAAATTCTATTCCTGGTTGCCGCTGACGTGAATTCACGTCTTTTCAAGTTCTATCCCTGGTTGCCGCTGACGTGGATTCACGTCATTTCAAATTCTATTCCTGATTGCCGCTGACGTGAATTCACGTCATTTCAAATTCTATTCCTGGTTGCCGATGACGTGAATTCACGTCATTTTAAATTCTATTCTTGGTTGCCGCTGACGTGAATTCACGTCTTTTCAAATTCTATTCCTGTTTGCCGCTGACGTGAATTCACGTCATTTAGGAATAGAATTTAGCAACTAGGAATAGAATTCAAAATGACGTGACGTGAATTCACGCCATTTTAAATTCTATTCCTGATTGCCGCTGACGTGAATTCACGTCCATAACGATACACGATACAAGTTTGCGGCAACCAGTTTCAGAATTTCATTATTTTCGCTGGTTCTCAGTATTTGAAACGAAAAAAATTTACCGATCGCGAATGTGTTTAGAGTATAGGAAAGGCGCTAAGAAATTTAATCGACGTCGGTAAAGTAAAATTCATCTGTACCCTTTTTAGTGGTAATGCCGTTTTGTATACTGAAGTGGTAACATAAGCTAGCGCGTCCCATTACCGACATTTATATTTATGTTGAAGTATTAAACACTACGTTGAGAATTATACGAACTAAGGGTTCTATATATTATTTCAGTAATGATGAAGAGATCGACGTAAAACTGTCGAAATACCGGGAATTCATTATTCTAACGACTGTTTAGGACCAACGTCGCCATCTGTGACGTTTAGCTGCAACTAAATTTTTGCTCTAAAAACACCCGTTAGCACCCAGGCAAGCCAGCATTCTCTTGCAATCGTTGATAAAAGTATTTTTCATATTTTCCCATCTGCCTCTGTAATATTCCATTTTAATAGTATTCTAAATTCTTCGAGCTACGTCCTGAAACTCTTCATTTTCGATTGTAAACCTCCAAGAAGCGTAAAAGATCTAAAACGTACTTGGACCTCGCCATGTTGGTTCTGATCCATGATAAATAAATACATTTTTCATGAAAAATGAAATTTCGTGAGTCTCGGGATCTACTTTAGCGCCTCCACATTCACGCGGTAAAATTTGAAACTAATCGGTTGGCCCAATTCGGAGAATACTTTCCCCAACGATTTAACTTCTCTATTTATATTTAT